ATAAAAGAATTCCCATATTCTATAAAAATAAAGTACATTTTGTCGATACACTCTCAAGACGAACTTATTTTTGGGATACCGCAGTCCCATGTGGATCAGAAAATAGCCACAATGTTGTTCAGTTAAACCCTGATGAAGATAAATACTACCTAATTACACCGTATCCTACATTAATGCAACCACTAAAAAAATTTTCACCCCAAAGCATCCGAGCTATCGCTCGTAACCCAAATATTGATTTACAAACAATTGGAATATACTCTAAATCTGATATACAACCCACATTAGAACACAACAATTTCAAGAATTACTAACCTAAATGGACACAATACAACGACAATCAATCGACCAGAATTTAAGAAAACTTGCCGAAACCGCAGGATTTGCAGACATTTATACACAAGACTACAGCGGATATTTTAAAGGTATCAAAGACTACATATATTTAAACGGTGAAAAATACAGACGTCAAGATATTTCACCCATAAATATTTTCAGTTTTGTAACCTTAAAAAACGAAATTCTCGCCTTACATCTTAGAAAAATTAACCATCTTATACGCCATGTTTAATTTTATAGGATTTCTTTTCTCACTGTTGAAAGGAATCTATAACACATGCGCTATACACACACAAGTAAACCGCCAAGCAAGTGTAGCACGTATACTATTTGCAGGATTTTTCGGAATTTTCTCATCAATCAATAAAATACTTCTAGATGCACAAATAAAAGAATATAATACAAAAATATCCACAAGACCAAACGCATACAACGAAGAACATAATAATGTAGATACAACACCTGCAGCACCACAGATAACACCCCTACCACAAAATCATCCATTATCATTAGTTCCCCGAAATTTTCGAAACCTAGCAATCACAAATAATCCAAACTTTCGACCAAATACAACACAAAGTCCCATTCAGCACATAATGACAAATCTTTCACAAAATGATAATACATATGAACAAATTATTGAACAGCCCCATACCACCAATTTTCAGTCTCAAAATAATCATTTTTTTAGCCCACGATGAGCCGACAAATTGGATCCCTCCATCGCTCAAATTCCCACCCAGCCAACCTCCAAACTCAAATCCCAATTATCCCACTTTTTGCTTTCCCGCCACCCGATTTTCCAATTATTAATATACCATCAAGCACGAATTCTGATACTAACTCAGATATTTCAGTTTTTCATACTATCTCACAATTTAATAACTCCAATGTAGAAACCCCCGACGAATTTGCAGACTCCGAACCATCTCCCTCTACCCATAACCAGACCAATTCCTCAGTTTTTTCGCAACCCCCTTTTCGACCCATCCAATCCAATCATCCACTCCCATCCCTTTCCACTCCTTCTTACGCTTCCCAATTAACCCCAACCTATTCTCCATTTCATTCCGACAGATCACATAATAACTCCCCAGATACCATCCAAATTTCCGCAGAACTCGACAATTTTATTACATTACAACAACAACTAATACATCCCCAAACTCTCACAGTACATCAACTATCATCCACAATAACATCCTCAAATCCACCAACTCCTACACCCTCTTCAGCTTACACTCACTCATTAGCTCAGTCATCCACATCCACTGAAACACCTACCTGTACTAACCGAGCTTATCGCACTTTTAAACGAAAAATCCAAAATCACCCATTCCCAACCAAACTCGGAACAGCCCGAGAATACATAAACCACCCAGAACACACAAATACGAAAAATTTTCTAGAAATCACCCTACCATCATTTCCGCAATATACATTAAATACACCTACCATTGCTAACGAAACACGAAATTTTGTTGATGAGCACGTTTTAATGCCAACACTTCATTGGACAGCTTACTACAATTATACTAACCCCCTTTGTTTACCACTAACAAATACTAGTGAAGACACAGAGAAAAACAAAAATATGTTATATAGACTCACCACATCATTAACACCTCGACAATTTACGTATGTTGGATATAAAAAATTATTAAAAACATTCACCGCACCCCGAGCTAACGATTTCTCAATAGAATACTACGATCATAATATCATCCGCCCTAATCACGATCAATTTTTAGACGAAGATCGCTTTGCAAACCCGCAACTAACCGAAAAATTTTTCATTAAAACACCATACGTATTAACACTTAATATTTTTGATAAAAAGCATGATCATATTATTTCAGAAGCACTAGTTGATATACAAGCATATGAAAGCTTCTATGATAAATTTCAGTTATTTTCACTAACCTTTCACTTTCTTTCACCACAAGATTTGCACTGTTCACACGATATAATGTTACGCACTAAACAAACGCACTCTTACACATATTATCGTTTTATACAAAATCATTTTGATTTACACACTCCATCAAGACAACCCCACCATCGTTTTCAGTTTCTTAACTCAAAATACACGTCACATTTTTTCTTAATTTCACATATTGCATTAAAAATACTAACCTCCACGGCATCCTCCGCAATTACGACCCAGTCACCCAAATGTATATATTCTGTCCCATCACGAAGACCTTCAATGATGAAGAATCAAGACCCTTCATTATCCCGCATGAATTTATACAACCTATCGAAATACCCATTTTAGAATTTATTCATAATACTAAATCTAATCATAAAATCTATAACCTCATTTAAAACACACCTTATGAGTTCGCAGTAGGCACAGAAGAACTAAACAATATCAAAGCACTTCAATTGCTTTGGGCTCTGCTACAAACTAAAAATGTCATACGCATACTAGCCAAGTTACTAACAACATCAGACATGATTCGCGACATATTCCCCCACGGCTTTTTCGCAGACGACTAAGGTAAATATGAATTAAAATACTTATAACTAATAAATTCAAATTTGTACTAACCATTTCCTATCAATGTTTAATTTATTATTTTAGTCTTCACACCACAATCATCTACAAAAGCAGAAAAAGACAATTAAAAAAACAAACATCTTAAATTATATTCGAACTCATTAATCTTTCGCACTAAATAATGTAGTAAAATTCATACCTAATGTAGTAATTTCATTTATAAATTATTTCCCCATAAAGCAGTAAAATTAAAATACGATGAAAATTTATAATTTTAAACTTCCCCAAAAGCAGTAAAATTCAATTTCTATGCAATAAATTAATAAAATGAGAAAGCAGTACTAACCTTTTCAATATTTTCATTCATTCGCACAAAAATTCTATCCAAACTCGCACAGCTCGCCCACGAAGAGTTGTTTAAATAATGATTTTAAGTTTCAAGTTTTCACTATCAACAACTCTAACAAGCGATAACAAGTTTCAAACTTTCCTTTAACCCGGTTGGAAAAGAATTATATACTAAACCAAACTAACCAACGCAGCTTACTAAACACCATAAATCATAAAATAACAGCATGACTAAGAAAAGAAAACCAACGGTACCCAAACCGGATTAACCCAACTTAAAACTGGATAATTTATTCTTTTGAAGACTATTATAAAGTCTAAGAAAGAAATAATAAAACACAAAAAAGTCGCAAGACAAACCCAAACCAAAAACAATTTGATTTTGAAAAAGGACACAACCAAGTAACATAAGAAAGACAAGAAAACACCAACATAAAACGTTATCACAACAGGACCCCTCAAAGAAACAACATGAAATCACACTCCCATTCCTGGCCTAACCCACCAGAGAAGGACGTCCTGAGCATGCTTATAGCCGGCCTAACCCACCGCGCTACACCCACGCTTTGTGACCACACTTCAATTTTTAATAAGAGGTATTCAAGGGTGAGTAACTCTTCAAAATAACTGAACTAAAACAAAACGCTTTTTGTGAAAACGACTAACTAAGATCATGATTAAAAAACCTAACTAACAGAAAATTATAAAATGTAAATCATACTATGCAGTATATAGATCATACACACAACAACAAAGACGAACATCTAAAGACTAGACGATCCCATCACACTCGAATAAAAGAATGGCTAAACACAACCGACATGCCGTCCACAATCACGACTCAAAGGATTTAGAGTACGACTTGACTTCGCAGAAAAGGACTTCATTGAAATAGACCAATGACCACCTCGATGTTCAAGTATACGTACAGATCCGAGTTTCAAGGCATCCCTTCCAAACACGATTCTCACGCCATTCCCAGACGAGGCTGCACACAAAACAGTTCTCTACTAATACAGAAAAACCTGACATAGCAAACCATTTTGAAATCGGATTGATTTCATTGGGGATCACAGTCGTTGTCGCATGACGTAATAACAACTTCCTATCCCTGATTCCAGCGTCCTGGAACGTTCTTCTTCAAGAGGAACCGGATAAAAAAATGATGTTCGCCAAATACCAACGTTCATCATCCATCCTTCAATTGCAGAAAGAAAGATAAATCTAAAAACTCTGTAAACCCCGGATGGGTGGAACCTGGTCTAAACTACATTTTATTGGATAAATTAGATATTTTACCACTGTAAAATATTTAATATTAACCAATCATAATCCATCTAACTAACAACCCACTTATTTGTAAGTGCCGAAATTACTTGTAATTTCAGCACCAGAGAGATTTGAATTTAACTTAGAAATTAGTTACCTCTCCAAGAGAACTAAAGCAGTTGCAATAAGCCAGTATACTCTAGATCTATTGAGCCTAGCAGAGACTAGTTAAACACCCTGAGACTAGTAGATATAAGAGTAAGATTAGGATCGGTATTAGACTAAGAAGTTGCACGAATCTATCCGGCCGAAAATAAGATAGCGTGACGAGCAGACGGTGTACCCTATCCGAAATTACTCTATGAGTTAACCTCAAGGACCTAACTCAATACTGGAATGGTTTTTTGCCTATATTGTTAGGAGCTAGGTTAGGGTCTAAGTTTCACATAAACAAAAATTGTCCTTTAAGAGATTAAGATTTAGTTCTGATTTTATGTTTTGTGCTGCCGTTTTCCATCTTGTTATGAACTCTTTCAGATTAATTGTCGAATGATGATTAGAAGCTGACACTAACTGGAACAAAAATGGGTCTTATCTTCTCCAAATTAGGCTGGCGTTCTGCCACTGATAAAAACACAGCAGCACAAGCGGAACCGGAAAAGAAAGTTTACAGCTGGTAAGTTTTTCATTGCGAATAATATACGAGGTGTTTCAGTTTTTAGGGCGTTTGCCTGGCATATTTTTTGCTTAATTTTGCCTTTTTTAAAGAAGTTGAATTTTTCTGAAGTCAATTTTTTTTTCGTTCATAATTCCGTTTTTGGTTAATGATACATTTTTTTTGTGCTCCTGTTACTATCATTTAGCATCTGTAAAAGAATTGACTATGCTTAGACAGGCTGGATAGCCTTTCATAGATCCTCTGCGATCGCAGCAGCCACAATTAATTTAATTTTTGCTAATCGAAACAAGAGAACCTTTTTAAATGTTCACAACTGTTTGGTCCTTCAAGCAGCTATATTTAAATCTTTAATTTTAAACCATCATCCGGTCCATATATAAATTACATAATGGATTTTAGGGATCTGCGGCCTTCAGAAGATGCTCAGAATCTGCAGTTTAGCAACAAAGCGGATGAGGTTCTTGTCAAACTACCGGGAAGTATCAACGGAAAGCCATTCAACATTGTCAACCTGAATGTAAGAACCTCAGTTTCTACACCTCTATATGGTTGTGCTGATTTAAGCGAAGCTAGTGTTACACTGTGTGTTCACTTCTGTCAGACATTGTAAACTCATTTTGTATACATTTCTGAGCTATTTCACCGTTTTCCTCACAACAAAAATATTAAAAGCCAATGTGTTTGAACGTAGATATTTAGTATGCGATATCGAAAAAGTGCCGTGTAGTAAAAACAAATGATGGGGGTGAAAGTGTCCACTATGCTTTTTGTGTTATCATCAGTTTGTTTATGCTTCATCTTGGCATAATTTAGCCTTCTTCATCTGAATGGTGAGAAAATGTACGAAAAAAAAATTAAATGATTGGTCGGAAGTATGTGCATGTGTGTGTATCAAATTTTTAATTAGATCAAGCGAAGCTCAAAGATCGCTTTCAAATTGAAGTTATATTTATTTCTATAAAACTCAAATTTCGAAAAAGAGTATTATTATGTATTTTATTTGAATTCGAATTATTTATTTAGTGAGAAAATATACGTAGACAGTAGTTAACTCACAGGGATTTCGCATGAGCCCTGAGGCTCATCGAGGCGAGACCGTGGAAAACAAAAAACACGAGAATCAAGATATCTATTTTTCGCAAATATTATTCCATGCAAATCGGAATTATCTATAAGGAAACAATTCTTATTTTGTACCTGTATTCATTAATTTTGTTTATCTTTCAGTTTGTTTAATTGTTTTAAATCGTCGGATATCAGTTTGTTTGAGGATAAAAAGTTAAATTTTTTATCTGGCTGAACGAACTGTGCAGCCAATTTGTTCTTACTAGTTTTCCATTAAGAATTTTTGATTCGCGAGCTTTCGTGCATCTCCTTTGTGAAAATTGTCCTTAGTTTACAAAGTTGAGTAGAGATTTCATAAGCAACTGATAAATAGTTGCTTTATGTAATTGATCAAGAAAAATTTTGAAAACGGTTTCCATTTTGTAATCATGAAAAATTGGCATCACGGTTTCGATTTTTTTCTAATATATAGTTCTTAAAATCCGTTTTTGAATTATTAAAGTTGTTTGGAAAACACTTTTGACGATCTGCTTAAAGATATACTATTTGTTTTTTGAATTTATAGGAAGGTGATTCATGCTTAGTAAAAATAGCAGCGGTCCAAATACAGAACCCAGTGGAACGCCGTTTTCATCTGCAGCATATTCAAATTTTTTCCACTTGAAGATACGTATTGAAAACGATTAGATAAAAAATATGATTGGGTTAGATTGTAGGATATGCCATGAAAGCCATAGCCTTCTACCTTTTTCATCAGAATTGTATGATCGATGGTGTTAAACACTTTTTGGAAATCTAAAAAAAACAAGCGTGGATACCTGAACGATTTTTCCTAATTCCGAATTGTTAAGCTGCAAGAATGTTGAACTTATTTTTAAAATTCCCAAATACGATTGAAAACCATTTTTTCGATAACTTTGCTTTTTGATGAAAACAGTCTTCTATTTCTAAAATTTGCTGGGTTCTCGTAAGAACCCTTCTTATGAAAAGATAGAGAAAGTTCTTATGTTAGCTTTGGTTTCGGTTTTAGTCAAATGATCATATCAGATGACGAGTCATTCAAAAGTTTGTATCTGGTCCTCGCTTATGCTTAAGATGTTTCAAAATAATCAATAGTAGGAAGTGTGTTGTTTCAGTCGTGTCGTGTGTTTCTGCTGGATAATATGGCGACCATTAACATAGACAACTGCTCCAACTGCGCAATATTCATCGGGCCCACCAACCAAAGGCAAGCTCGAATTGCAATTCCAAGAGCTGATTTTCTTTTCTTATGTGGTGTTTGTTTCTATTGAACTGATATTTTTGTATCGAAGAAAAAGATGCAGTAGCGTGCCGGGGGTAGCTTCTGTGCAATTTGTACAGCACAGTAACTAGCTATTCTAATTTATAAATTATGTTCCAGCGTGTTCATCCGCGACTCGACCGCCTGCAATTTCATTGTTTCCTGTCAGCAGTTTCGAATGAGAGACTGTTCCAAAGTCAACGTATTACTCCACTGTACTTCTCAGCCTATTATAGGTCTCTTTTCCTGTTCATGATTTCGATTTTTGAGTTTTTTTTTTGAGGTCAACAGCAATGATACACGAAGAACTAAGTCCGAATGAATAATTTCGAGGAGGGGCTCTTTTCATTTTCCATTCCAGCGCATGTTTTTCAGTTGAATAAAAAAATTAGTGACATTAAAAATAAGTAAATCTTCATACGATAAACGATATGAAAAGCTAAATGTTCAATATGATTCATTGGTTCACTATGTCACCGTTTTTGTTCTGGAAACTTGATGGGGAAATTAGAATGAAAGTAGAAAGAGTCAAGTTTGAAGAAGTTTTTCTCAGATGTAAGTTGTCGCAATATAAATAGAGGGAGTTGGGAAAATGGAAAAGAGATCTTTGAAGAGTCTTCATCCAAGATCAAATTCGCTTGCTTCCAATTCTACTACGAAGCCTTGCAAGACCAGTTGCAAAGTGCAAGTTTGAGTCCGTATCTGAACTATTGGAGCAATATATACGACTTCTCGCCGAATTCCGACAGCAGTAATCCGAACCACGGCTACCTTTCAGACGAAAAAGTTTGTTTGTTTTATTTTTCTTTTATATGAAGTGAATTTTGTCGATACGTTATTTTCATGAAGTTGAAAACAGGTTTAAATTTTATCACTGTCCAAAATTTTTACAAAAAAAAACAAATAGGACGCACGGCATCAAATTTTAACTTCAAGGAAGACCAACAAAAAAATCTTGGGCCAACCGATTAATCCAACTCCTTTGGTTACCATTCATAAAGTATCTCTATCTCCCCTACTCATGTTTTAATTTTCAAATGTATAAAATATGCTTTTCAAAACAAACACACAAATTAAATTGTTTCAAAATGATTAATATGGGAGTGGAGTTTTGACATAATGCTAATCACCTAAGTTAACGATTACAATACTGTTTTTGAAGACAAAATTTCAATTGAATTAGTGTAGGCTATACTCGAAATTAATTTCTGAATACAAAAAGTTTATCCCCCTAAAACTAGTAGTTTATCCCCCCCCCCCCAAGGGTTTGATTGTACGGTTGATCCAACCCTCATTTTTTATTCTCACGTTTTTTTTTATTTTGTAGTGTCAGTTTATAAATTGTTTATATATCTGTCGTTTAGATAACAGAGTGCCTTGATTTCTTCGACGTGTCGAAGTTAGATGCAGATACACTGCCCGATGGACTTGACCCCGAGATATTGAAGCTAGATCTGAAACGAAGCTGCATCCCGAAGACGAAGAACCACGCATTGACTAAATCTCAGCCAGCTTTAGGCCAGGTAAAACAGAACTTTTTAATGATTTTTTCAGCAAGACCAAAAGCCTTGCGCTGAGATTTATTTAAAGGCTTTTTTTTTACCAGTATAACACAATGAGCTATAACACTAACCGTTACTAACATTACCCAATTTTTGTCTAGATGCAGTCCAATCAAATTGACTCGGTAAAATGCATAATTTTTGCTTCTTTTCACGTAAATTTGAAAAATAAGTAACTTATTTTAAACGAGCGAATCATTTTGATCCGCATTTCACTTTCAATTTTTTGGAAAAAAAGAATGGTTTCACTTTCAAAGAGCCCAAAGTAAATAAAGTGTGCCACAGCTACTGAGATCAAAATTAAAGAAATTAGCTGAGGCATGGCCAATTGGTGAGCGATGCATGGCCGAGAAAGTAATCAGAATGGAAATTTCCAAGTTTTTTCGCAACAAAAGTTGTTTAGAGTCGATCAACGTAGTTCAGACTCGTATATAGGTCGTGATGATTTTTGTTCGTTATGGAGTCATTGCCTTTGCGAAGCAAAGTGTATTAGTACGAAATCTCTTTTTTTTCAATCTAAGTCGCAAATAAAAGTGCTACTTTGGTGGCGTTTTGAGTGGAAGGCTGCTGTAGCAGTATAATATTATATGTGCTTTGACATTTGATTAGTAAAAAGTTAACGCAGTTGATGCGTTTTTAATTCATAAGTTGATCCGAAAAAAGTTAATTTGTTTCAAACAGCAGTACAAAAAAAGCTCGATTTCCGAAATTTTCCAAATCATTGTATATCGCAGTTTTTTGAAATGCAAAATTTATACTTAATTTGACCTTATGCTTTTCAATTTTTTACGTGCAAACTTTTGTCTTTTTGTATTTGTTGCTACTTTTGCTGCATGGAGTTGGCAATTTTTTAGCATATGTGGCTGCTTTATTGTTGGCTTGTTTTTGGAGGATTTTAAGCATCCGTGGCTGAGTGGTTAGTGCGTGAGACTCAAATTTGCTGGGTCGCTGATGCGAATACGACACGTAGCCGAGTTTTTGCTAATTCAAGGTTTATTTCTACTTTTTCTTATTTATTTTGATAGAGCCGCTTTTTCTTTTGATAGAGCTGCTTCTACATAAATGGATTCATACCATTTAATGCTTTTAGGTATATATGCACCATTTGACTTCAATTAAGTTTCATCTGCTTCAAATTTAGGAAACTTGTGCTCTCTACTTTCGAAAGAGCGCTCCCTCACAAAAAAAACGTGATCGGTTTCTTGTTTTGAAGGAGCGATTTAATTTTCAGATTTGCCGACGGATTTAAATTTTTACCAATTCATCATGTTTTCTTAAACTGAATTGTTTTTTGATCAAAAAATCATCAATCATAAATTGTTTTTAAGGCTATATACTTTTTCTTGAATTTCGAAAGTTTTTTCCAAAATAGAACTCAGTTTTTCTTTTCGGTTTTCTTAGTTCATTTACTCTTTTCCAAATGTTTGTTGGCTTTGTTCATTTTTTTTTCAACCTAAATTGAACCTTTCTGCGTTCAAATTTTCAGAGTAGATAAGTTTTTATTTAGTGTCTGGCGGATGCTATAAGACTCTGTATGGAGTAGTTTGGTCCACGAAGGAGTGGATTTGAGTTTAAGCAACGACAAGTGGCCTTGAATATTCACGGTTGTAATGCGGTAACACATCTAAAGCTGTTGTAGTTTAATTTTTTTCAAATTGTGTTTTCTTTTTACACAGAGAAATTTGGAGCTTCGCAAACTCAAGCAATGGGTGACAGGAAATTAGACGGAAAGCAAACAAGAGGTCACTAATAAAAACGGAATTTAGATGTTATTTTTTGCAAGTTAAGATTTTTAGACAAAAAAAGCAAAAAGCTAACAAACCGTTTTGCTGATTACAAAATTTCACAAATACTTGAAGAGTAATTTTTAAACAAAATATGAAGAAAGAAAGAAAAGAAAGAATTTATTTTGCATATATAATGATATATGATAACCAAAACGCATGAATCATTGCATTTAAATATTGTTCTAATAATCAGAATAATGAGTACAACTAACTGCTTACTATCGGAAGGGTTTGATGAAAAGCATTTCTGGTACCCACTTGTGTACTACTGATATGAGTTAGGGTAAAAAGGTTTCAAAGGAAAAATCGATAATATAAAAGAATGTTGAAAAAAAAATGCATTTTTAGCTAAAATAAGCTAAATTTTATTCACAGTCTAATTCGGCCGTGATATGGCTCTAAATATTTCGTCCTTTTTTTCAATTTTTTGAAAAAAATTTGGAGCTTTGCAAACACAAGCAATGGAAAACAGGAAGTTAGACGGAGAGCAAATAGACCTCAATAAAAAAACGGAGTTTAGATGTTACGTTTTTTTTGCAGAACTAGTTTTTAGACGAAAAGCAAAGGTTAGTAAAATTTATTGCTGAAAGCAAAGTTTCACAAATACAAAAATATTATATAATTCCATTGCATATCGAAGTATTTTCTATAAAAGATTCATGAGACGTTAATCCGAAATTTTTTTAAAAAATTTTGAAATGTAATAGTTATACAATTAATTGCGACATGTGAAAGGTCATATATCAGTAAAGTACTGTATTATACACCATTGCATTAAAAATGCTGTCGTTCTCGTTTTTAAACAAGATCTAAAGAAAGAATTTATGTTGCAGTAATGATAGATGATCACCAAAACGCATGAATCATTGCATTTAAATATTGTTCGAATAACAAGATCAATGCGCACAACTAACTGCTCACTATCGGAAGGGGTTGATGAAAAGCATTGCTAGTACCCACTTGTGTACTAATGATCTTCCCGAAATTTTCTGAGTTAGGGTAAAAAGGTTTCAAAGGAAAAATCGATAATATAAAAGAATGTTGAAAAAAAATGCATTTTTAGCTAAAATAATCTAAATTTTATTCACAGTCTAATTCGGCCGTGATATGGCTCTAAATATTTCGTCTTTTTTTCCAATATTTTGAGAAAAATCTGGAGCTTCGCATACACAAGCAATGGAAAACAGGAAGTTAGACGGAGAGCAAATAGACCTCATTAATAAAAACGGAGTTTAGATGTTACGTTTTTTTGCAGAACTAGTTTTTTAGTCGAAAAGCAAATGGTTAACAAAATTTATTGCTGAAAACAAAGTTTCACAAATGCAAAAATATTATACAATCCCATTGCATATCGAAGTATTTTCTATAAAAGATTCATGAGACGGTAATCCGAAATTTTTTTAAAAAATTTTGAAATGTAATAGTTATACAATTAATTGCGACATGTGAAAGGTCATATATCAGTAAAGTACTGTATTATACACCATTGCATTAAAAATGCTGTCGTTCTCGTTTTTAAACAAGATCTAAAGAAAGAATTTATGTTGCAGTAATGATAGATGATCACCAAAACGCATGAATCATTGCATTTAAATATTGTTCGAATAACAAGATCAATGCGCACAACTAACTGCTCACTATCGGATAGATGAAAGGCATTGCTGGTACGCACTTGTGCACTACTGGTTTTCCCCTAAATTTTCTGAGTTAGGGTAAAAAAAGTTTTAAAAGAAAAAATGATATAAAAATAATTGTTGAAAAAAAATGAATTTTTAGCTAAATAAGCTAAAATTATATGCACAGTCCCACTCGATCATGATATGGCCCTTCATATGTTGTCCATGTACACCTTTTGAGAAAAATTTTTGGAAAAATTCCAAATTATTATACGTTTTTTCAAGCTGTTTGAGAAAGCTTATGTTCTGAATGTCTTGACTTCCATTTTACAAGACATTGCTCTTTTAATACTTTTTTGAAGTTTGTGTCCATGCTCAAAAAAAAATTTTTTTTTGCGTACTGTGGCTTGCACAAAAGTTAAATCGTTTCAAGTTATCCCACTTTCATGTTCAATTAGTGACAATTAATTTAGAATTGTCTTCTGGTTGTGCTGCCATTTGGAGAAAGAAACGAAGTTTTGCTGAGGATCATGGATCGCATACAGAAGGCAAGCCAACTTAATTCAAGTCTCAAATAAAAACGCGGCTGATTCATCATCACCAAAGATGTAATCCGTTTGACGATTGATTGTTTTGGACCGGTGTATTATGTCACGATAGATTTACGTGGTCGATTGTATATGGATGGGGGATTGATTTTTTTGTTTAAGTTAACGGATGTTTGTTGGTTAATTCGATGTTAGCTTTTGAAAAAAAGCTATTTGTTTAGACGAAGGATGAAAACAAATCAAATGACATTGAACTTGCTCAGTCTGTCGAATCGACACTCATGACCCAAGATGAACTAGACCGCCTTTTGAACATACCAGCTCTTGCTCTGAATGCAAGCAAAGTCTCAGGTGGCGACGCGGAAATATCGACAAAGCGAACTCAGCTGAACTTTGTGAACAAAATCAAATCCAGAGGCAAAGTGATCGCACTGCTTTTTTCAGGTCAAAGCAGTGAACAGATTGTGACGGATTTGATTTCGAAAGAAGAGCAGCTGAAAAGCTATTGTTTCATGTCACAAGGTCAAGTAGCAGATGCACAATTCGAGCAGTTGCAGAATTATATGCAAATGCAGTTTCACTAGATAAACAAAGCAGGCGCGGATCTAGGATTTTCGCGAGGGCGAGCGTGAATTTTCAAAATAGCCCGAAATTTTAGTCGACTTTTCCAATTCGACCAAATATAATTTCCGAGGCATCAAAAACACTAAATAGACCCGATTTTGCCAAACGTTACTTCGGGGCAGGCTAAGTTTTGGAAAAACAAAACAAAACGCGGGGGTACGCCCCAAAAAATTACGGCACTTTGGCGCCTTTAGAAAAATTTAGTGTTGGTCGGTGAAAATGATGTAATAGAATTGTAAAAAGGGGTGGTCGAGTCCTTGAGAAAGTCTGATACAAGTGTGTAGTATATACAGTATATATAATAGTTTGTGTTTATTTGTAAATAATGATTCATATCTTGATGCTCATGATTCAATAGCTTGGGTGCCAGTATGATAATGGGGTCCCTAAAATGTATATGGGTACCTGAAGTGAGATTTGCACCTACAAATCTTCGTAAAAAGATTGTGAATTTGTCTTTATGCGTTTTCGAGCTTTCCATGAAACTGTCGGGAACCGTCTTTCTTCCTCGCTTTTCTAGGGACCCAGCTATAATACTTGTATCATGGCGTGTAGAAAAAGTAAAGACTGTAATTATACGAAATAATATTTAAAATGTGTAAAATTGTATACTGTCATTCTTTTTGTATTGTAATCAACAAAACTTTGTGGAAGAGCCACTTTAGGAATTCTGTAAAAACGTAAATCAGAGTCATAATTTAACTTAGATCATTATATTAAACTTGAAAAATTCCATTTTTTTTGTCAAAAGTTTGAGAGGTAGTGATAAACATCCTAAGTTTTGAAACCTTAATAATATATCTTAAGCCATGCTATTTAATTTATACTTCCAACAAAAACCTTCTTTAAATTTATTGAGATGTATTCTTCAAGAATATGGTTTATCTTATATGCTAATCGGTAAATCAAAGATAAGACTTGTCAATATTACCAGAGAAACAAAAATTTAAAGCATAAATTGAATAATTTACTCAAGACTTTTCAAAAAAATTCAATGAAAAATTGACGAAAATTCAAATCATGCATACTTTATTCATTTTTTAGTGACGACTCTAATAACTGTTTTTAATAATTAGCCCGTATAAATCAATGAAAGTTAATATTTTTCTGTTTTTCTGCTCTTGGACCCATTCTGTTTCAACCATTCTGTTTATAGCTCCGCTTCCGCGTGCTATATTGTGATTGTTGTATTGTCTGTAAATTTTTAATGGGATCATTCGCAGCAGCCTATCGCGAGTTCGTAATGATATGAATAATAATTATTACATCTCTGCCCAGTTATGTTAAGATAGGAAAGAAACTCTAGTGGATTTGATTGTAAAGTTAACCTACGTACAAGAAAAAAGTCATTGAAACAGCAGCTTTTCTAGAAACTGATACAAATGATATTTTAATCAATTTAAGAAGAAAGCGTTCACAGGATTCTTTCGGACTGAGTAACTATGTATTAAACAAACTTTTGCCTACATCAGCCGATATACTTGCTTTAATGATAAATAAATGTGGCATAGAGTCTGAGTTTCCGAACTATCTTAACATTGAAAAAGTACTGCCGATTTACAAATCAGGAAAATTAGGCAGCTAAAATAGGGCCATTTCACTACTTGCGGTCATTAGAAAAAACTATAAAAAAGTGATATTCGAAAGGACGATAAATTTCCTAAACCAGCACCATGTTCTCAATTTTGAAAAAATGGTATCAATAAGAACTTAGCACAGTTAATGCAATGAACATGAGTACAGAACACCACATTTTACTGTCTTTTGATGGACCTAATTTGAGGAAAACGTTGGTGTTAATTTAGTATCTACTTGGCGCTATGCGTGCTATGCAGTGATTGTTTTTATTGACTGTAATTTTTTTAATGGAGTTATTCGCAGCTTTTTTGAGTTTTTGCTTACATTGTAAGGTTAATCTCATGAGAACTGCACAATTGAAAGCACGATGTTAGCTTTCTCAAGCTTTTGACTCTGTTGATCATGAAATTGTAATACAACTTTTTATAGGAATTTACGATATTGAAATTTATGCTTTTTTCCTTTCATTAAAAATGCAATTTGTTCTGACACCAACTGAAACATCAGAATTGAGGTCCATAAATGCTGGGTTTTTCTTCTGTATTTTTATTACATCAACGATCTTCCTCTTGAATGTAAAAGAAGCTGATACAGTTGTGTTATCAAATGATTTCAATGTTTTTTTTTAGATATACACTGTTTAAATGGTCTAGTACCCGAAAGATCTAGATCAGGCGGAAACGTGGTTTAGCGGAAATAATTTAACGCTAAATGAATAAAAGAATCTAAAAATAGTTTCAGCTCGCATAATAGAACCAACTCTGATACAAAACACTTAGAAAAAATTAAACGTTAACGCAGCGCCGTGTTAGCATTAAACTGCATGCTAAATATTGCGATTAGTTTTTGATAATAAGGTTAACTAGAAAGAGAATACTGACAAAAGTAGGTAACGGACCGCTAAATTGTTATCCCTGAATACTGGCTGAGGATTTTGTCAATAAATCTCAGTTGGTGAGAATGTGCAATACCTAAATCAAGCCTAGTTATCAATATGATTTCCTTTGTGTATGGTACAGATGTGTCGGATCTTAAAACACTAAAACAGCAACAAAGATTCAAGTTGTTTCAAGTTATCTACTTTGAGCAGCAGCAGAAACTTGAAAAAAAAAGAAGCAAAAGCTTTGCAACATCAGTGAACAGCAATTATATGAATTATTCAAACTTATGGCAAAAATCTCAAGAAAAACATGATCAGACTTAGATAATCACATCATCTCAAAATTTATAAAGACTTCATTTGATAAAAATTTACAGGAAAAAAATAATAAAAAGCGTAAATGAGTCAAAACGATGGTTGAAACTAGAGTTAGACTACTTCAACAAATTTTTTCAGTTGGTCGAAAAACACTTGTAACGAGTGTCACTTCTGGAAAAGCGAAACTAGCTTGTTATCTGCATTTATTGAGTGATCTTTTTTATGAGATGATGGAAGTTAATTAGTGTTTTTTGATGACTGGGTGTTTTAGGCACTTATAAAATTGAGTTATTTTCTTTTAAAAGAAATTATTTTCTAAAACTGATTATAGCTAAGTTTTTCTCAAATGAATTTTTTTGATTGCTGATGAGATACCACTCGAAGGGCAAATCGCCTAATTAGTAGCCTCTCAATTCGTGATTATAAAGTGTTAAGTTTTTATCGAACATGTTACATGATATGCAATTCCTAACTGGCCAACCAACGTTGGGTTTTGAGAAAATATGTCTGTCTAATGACGCATGATTTGCTTTAATGACGCATGAATCTAAGGGCAACATGCAGACACAGCATCGGAATGTGCATCTTTTTTGTTTCATTCATACTTTTACGAATTTCAATTAATGTGCTTCGCGAGTTTTTGAAATGCATAATTCATTCTCAATTGATTTTGTACGTTCCAATTTATTACATAAAAAATTGCCTTTAGTTTTATTTACTCAAAATTTTACAAAAAATTGCCAGTTATAAACAGTTTTTGAAATTCAAAGAGCTACCGCGTGTTATAGTTTTCTTCGAAATTGGAAAAATGAAAAATCTTCAAAAACTTTCAATCTACTTTTTTGCGGTTTTGTTTTTATTTTAGGCTTTCCCAGCTATCTGTTGGCTATGTTAAGAATTAAGTAAACAAGTTCAGACTAACAAAAAATTGTTTGAAATAGATTAAATGATATTCAAATACGTTTGAAAACTCGTTATATTTAATTCATATGTGTTGTGTTTTCATTTTACCATATGTTCAGGTTTAGTTTACAGTGATTAGAAAGTTTGTAAACATTTTTTAACGCAAGGTAGAAAACCCGAAAATTGGTACACCCTAAAAAGGCCAATTATGCGTTTCCGAGTATAATTTAATGAGCGCTTAGCATCTTCGCAGTTGAACCCTAGCTTAACCCTTTTCTAAACCAAACGAGACTCGCCGAAATTATACGTTGCTTGTTAAGTAAACTAGATGTATTGTTTGTTCGTTGTAAATCGAATCTGAACATTTCACTTAAAGAATTTTTCACTCTAAATGGTTTCCGCTGATATTATATTTGTTTATTTGCCTCATAGTTCGACCGATCAAATTTTGTTTGTGCTTCCGGGGGGTTGAATTGTTTTTTTTTTGCTTGAGTCGTCTAACCAGGTATTGTCTGATCATTATCCGCTTGATGAGTTTTTTGCCCTAAGCTTATTTAGTATTGAAAGTTGTGTTTCTCAGCATTTTTTCTCAAATTTAACGGCATTCTGGACAAACGTTAGAAAATCAATTTTTCAAAATGAAATTTTTTTCGACTCAAGTTTTCGTGGTATTTTTTGTTGGGCTAGCCTCTGTTCTACCTTGTTGTATTGCAAGTGGTGTGAAGCTCCGCATTGCCTCTATGTTCATTTTACTTTGTATAAATGATACCAAGGGGTAATTTAACTTGTTGTTGTGGAAGACACTGAATAACTCTGGAGTTAAAAGCCTTCGGAAGGTTACGAGAGCTGCGGCTATCATTCGGATTACGAGAGCTGCTGCTATCGGCGGCATCATGACCCAGGGCTATAACCTTCACCTGTTGACAGCTGATAACAATTTCTTGACCTGTTGGCTGTCTGTGATTATGAAAACTATGAGCCTTTCTTGATAGAACAAACGTACGGACATGGGACATGCTGTTCTTACGTTCCCGTGTTCTGAAACTGAAGGGCAGAAGCGGTTTAAAAAATGTACTGTCTGTGGCATTGGCAACACAACGTCTGCCTGGCTTAATTTGCACAATGCGCTTGTCTCAGCATATTGTATATTTGAAAAAATTAAGTAACGGTTCTTTCCCATAATAGCCCCCACCCAAGCTTAGAAACAAAAATATGTAGCTGGCTACACCGAATCCACCATAGTCGTGCATCTGGTGCAAAATCTATGCTCCAAATATAGGCTCAATAACAATGGCAGGATGAGGAAACTTGACTGAAAAAGACTGAGTCACGCTTCGGATACAAGGCTGTGCAATTGAGTTTTGGTTGCGTTAATCGAAAGTTCTTGTTAAATGCTGATGTATAACGTATAAGGCTTGCTCGCGGCTTTTGCATGAACAAACTTTTTTAGCGGCATTTGCATGAACAAATGTTAAGTTTGAGAATTGGTTGAGCTGAATGCCAAAACATCTGCCTAAACTAGCTGCTGTTAAAATTGAATTTTGATATCAAACGAGAAAAAAGAATTGAAAAATTTATACAGTGGTGGGGTGGTGCATACTGCTAAAAATGGTATATAATATAACTGTTCGTTCGGTTTTCCAAATATGGTGCTCTTTGCGCTTTCCGAATACGGTGCCCTTCGCTTTTCATTTATTGAACATCGCGTTCCTGACAGTAGCTTTCTTGGTAATTTTAGTTGAAAACTTGCCTTTTTAGTCTCTGAATAGTTGATTAGTAGACGCAATGTTAAATTTAAAAAAGTACATGCTTCAGAAGCCAAGTAAGTTCACTCTTTTGAAAGCAGTTGAAAATATTCAAAGTCTGCAATTTGTTTTTAAACAGTTGGTTTGAATAGTTGACCATACGACTAACAGTGATTCGAAGCTGCAAAGTGATGGAAAATGAGAAAAAAAATCGACTGAAGCTTTGGGCGGGCGATATTCTAGATGTTGCTGCTACTCTAGACGAGGACAATTTCGTAGAGATGATTGTTCGTCTGCTGGGAGATAAGC